GGGCACCAAGAGCAAAGGGAGCCTCACCATAGAGGCCCAGTGGCACCAACTAGACCATGGGCCCAGCCTCTTCGACAGGGGCATGGTGCTTGGCCTCAGGGCTCACAAGTCTTTGCTGTATCAATCACCCTTACTCACAACAGCCTGTCTTTTCAAATGAGTCATACAAAGCAGTTAAAAATGCCCTGTTGATTCTTACCACAAATATCCAGTTTCCTGAACACTGACTAATTTAATTTCACCACCTTCTGGAGGAAAGAAATTAAACACTCAGAGAGGAATTCTTATATATTTGTAGTTTTGGTAAGTCAATGAGGAGATATCATTAAACTTAAATAAATCAAATCACTGAATAAAATTAAATGCCATTTAATAAATGATGGAATGATCACCCCAGAAGCTATACCTTCTGACGAAAGTCACGCACTGGTGACAAGGAGGACTGCTGTCACCTCTGACACACTATGTAAAACCACACAGTACGGTTCCTCTATACACTCTCCTGGAGCAAAGGAGGATGTCTGCTCTTCCGTGAGGGAATAGGTCTGTGTGCTCTCTCACTTTAATGGTGAAGCCATAGAGTACAACCTCAGGTAAACGCAAGACCAACAGACTCTGGCTTAAGTATTACCAAACAAGCCAAAACATTGCTCTTTTAAAATTCATCATCAACAACAAAATAAAACAGAAAGCCCAAGAAGTCTACACAGACAACTCCAAAACATCTCACACTATTTATGACCACCCAAACACCAGTGAGGGCCCATGAGCCAGTGGCAGAGGTGGGTGGAGGTGTCTGGGTTTACCAGCTCCAGATTTCCGTGCTTTCATCAAGGGTCTGACCTACCCAGGTGTGGAACCCATAGCACGTTGGGCAAACTGCTCTCAGAGCTCCCCCGGCCCAATGCTGAGCAGCTGCAGGGCGGGTGCCACCCCAGGTGGGGGTATCAACAAGCCTGGGCAGGACCAGGGAGGTGAGACCGACCCTGCATTGCTCCTGTAGAAGCACCTGGGCAGGACCCCAGACCCAGAAGAGGAAGCAGAGCCTGGGCAGGGTGAGGAGGTTGAATCCAGGGCAGGTGAAGGACAGCAAGGCAGGAAGGAACAAGTGGGTTGTTGGATGGCGACGTCCCAGCACGTGGATCTCCGATCAGAAGTAGCCCCCTTTGCGCTGGTGTAAGTCTCCCCCAGCTGGAGGATCACAGGTTTGCAACTCAGCTATTCCCGCCAACCCAGATGACTCAGGCAAGCCCCATGGGTACCTTTAGCAAACTCGGCACAGCACTCAGGAAGAACCTGGCCAATGCAGCGTCACAAAGCCAGGGTGCAGTCATCGTGGAAGAACTTGGTAAGCCTGCCTGGGGCTGCTGCATGCTCTGGGATCCCCAGAGAGAAGACGCAAGGCAGCTGGGGAAGACCTCTTTGTCCTTCTAGATAGAGTAATGGCTGCTTTCTTTTTGGCACATGCCTGTCAAGTCCTAGACCACCAACTACTCCATCCTGCTTCCTCTCAGATAGCTCTTCACTCTGTCACCATCATGCTAAGCTCATGAGAGCAGGGCCCACTTTGCGGCCAACCTCTTAGTCTCAGGGTCTGGCAAAAGCCCCGGCCGTTGTAGGGGCTCATGTTGAGTGAAGGGAGAGAGCTCAGAGGGAGGTGGCATTGGAGGAATCTCATGCTGCTGAATAGGAGGCTGAGGGCTCTTCTCTACCCACGACTGCTCCCATGCAGAATTTTCCCTCCCCTCCTTCCTTTCATTAAGTCCTGTGGCCTGCAGCCTTTACAGGGCACTGAGCTTGTATCTTATATGTCTAGAAAGGAGCCACACCAGAGCTGCAGGTGGAACTCAGACCCGTGAGGGCCCATAAATGCTGCAGTGAGACCACTGCCACTCTCCCGCCCTGTCCCAGCATGCGGGCCAGGGGGCTCAGCATGCTGTGAGGAGCGCCAGGTCCACGTCATGGTTGCTTGCTCTCAGACCTGGGGTCTCTGAACACCAGCATCTGATCTCTCTTATCGCATTACAGAGCTACCAAGGAGTCACTTAAAAAGGAGAGAGGCAGGGCCGGGAGCGGTGGCTCACTCCTGTAATCCCAGCACTTTGGGAGGCCGAGATGGGCAGATCATGAGGTCAGGAGATCGAGACCATCCTGGCTAACATGGTGAAATCCCGTCTTTACTAAAAATACAAAAAATTAGCCGAGTATGGTGGCGGGCGCCTGTAGTCCCAGCTACTTGGGAGGTTGAGGCAGAAGAATGGCGTGAACCTGGGAGGCGGAGCTTGCAGTGGGCCGAGACTGCACCACTGTACTCCAGCCTGGGCAACAGAGCAAGACTCTGTCTCAAAAAATAAATAAATAAATAAATGAGAGAGGCAGAAGAAAGGTACTAATGCCTGTGTGGGAATTTCAGAAGGCTTTGGCTACAAAGCTTGGGCAAGAATGATTTTTCCTTTCTTATGGAAGTTTAAATATCTCTACTTTTTCCTCCCCTGTTCCCTCCTTCATGAATCTGCTATTTAATAGTGAACAAAATGACATGAATGAGGAAGTTTCCAATAACCTCATTATCCCATTACCTTCCATAGATTTCCTTATGCTTTCTTCTTTTTCTGTGTTAACTGAGTTCTTACCCGTGAGTGAAGTTACTTTATGTATTGGGTCCACTTTGTCAATTTTTCTACTTCAGAATCCTTGACTAGACTTTGGTCTCAGCATTACTTCCTTTGACTTGAATGAAGGGAATAAGAACATTAGATTTTTCTTTTCCTCAAGCAAGGGGCAAGGAATGGAGCCAAAGCTCTTTGCCCAGCACCGTCCCCCATCGTGATCCTAGATCCAAAGCCCTGGGAAGTGGCTGGAGGTTGTCTAGCACTTGCTACCCACTGCATCGGGAAAACACACTTTTCATAAGATCAGAAGTCAACACCAAGTACAGATAAAGAAATGTCCCTTCAAGCAAGTTGGAAAAAAAAAAAAAAAAAAAAAAGAACAAAGAACAAGGACTTTCTACAAGTAGTTCTGAGTGAGAAACATCCTTCCTGCTCTTATTTCTGTGGGCTTGAGGACACTAGTGACACAGACACCAATGCCATGTTCTCATGGGGAACTAGCTCTGATCCCAAGAAAAACATCAGCAGGCAAAATTCCCTGGTTTCCTTGTTCTGCTTACAAATTTGGACAATCCCTGGGGGTGGAGGCCAGTTTTCTTGCCAAAGGCTGAGAGAGCCAGATAATATTTTCATGGTCTTATTTTAGAATGGGTAGCTCTGTAAACAACCTCAGTGACAAAACCCACAGACAGCTTGTCTGGATCCTTATTTGAAGCAGAAGGTCACCGGCGAGGTAGACATCCCAGATGCACTTTAGACATGTGACAAAGTGCACAAGCCCAGCCAGTGCTGGCTCCCAGATGAGGGACACTTACCTCACCTTCTAAGTTTTGATAGTGCCATAATGCAGCCTGCTCCGGGGGCCTGAGGTCAGAACGGGACCCGTACTTGGGAGCCAGCGGGTAATGGAAGAAAGGTCTATCTCTCAAGAGGGCAGACCTTGCATGGCACGGGACAGGCAGATTTGCAGAGAAAGGGATGACTGGTCTGTCCCACTTGAGAACAGCAAAGGTAGGGAAGTGAGAGCAAGTAGGGAGAAGAGACGATTCAAGTAGAAGGGCAAAATAACTTCTAAACAACATGCATTTAGCAGAAGGAAAGTCAAGGTCCCGGGAAGCCGATCAGCATAGTGGCTACAATCACAGGCTCCGATCCTGAGGCCGGGTCACACTCAGCCGCACCATCAGGTCCCAGCCACACTCAGCTCAGCTGCTTATAGGGGCCTCCCTTCCCTCAACTGTGGAACAGAGGGAATATGTGTACTTAATTCACATGGGATGGCATGAGGAGGAAATGAACATACAAATAAACAAAAAATAAACATATCCACCACTTACAACAAGGCCTGGCACACAGAAATCCCTCACTCCATAAAGATCAGGTGCTGCGGTTCTCATGATCACCTCCACCCCTAGGGGTCTTCCTCCAGAGGTTGCAGCCCATCCCAGCCCACAGCCCTGCCAACTGGTGGGGAGGAACTTTCAACCCTTTTCTCTGGCGGTTTCTCTGCTAAGCTGACTTGCTGGCTGTTTGACCTTGGACACGTTACTGAAACTCTCTGTGCCTCAGTTTCCTCACATGGGGACAATGGTTGTGTCCTATCAACTTCATGGATCTACTTTAAATAGAAACTACAAGTTCAAAAAGGGGGCTATTGCCCTGTGGGTCCAGTGGAAACTTTTCTGCTTTCAGCAGATCATATTCAAAGTCAGGACTACAAGACAGAAACTCTTCAACTCCCGTGTACGGACACCCAGCTGTCCGGGTGAGCCCAGCATTTTCACATCTATTATTGAGCCAGTGGTGAAACTTTTTCGAAGAACTAAGATTCATCTTTAAACATCAAATCATTGTTATTATTTGCCATTTTTATGAGACTTTTTCTAAAATATACAGATACATGGAGTTTAGATCAATAATGAAAAGAGGTTTAATTGGTTCATGATTCTGCAGCCTGCACAGGAAGCATGGTGCGGGCATGTGCTCGGCTTCTGGGGAGGACTTAGGAGCTTACAATCATGCCGGAAGGCAAAGCAGGAACTGCAGGAGTGGGAGTAAGGGGAGGAGATGCTACGTACTTTTAAACAACCAGATCTCGTGAGAACTCACTATCGTGAGGACAGCAGCAAGCCATGAGGGATCTACCCACAAGATCCAATCACCTCCCACCAGGCCCTGCCTCCAAAACTGGGGATTACAATTCACATGAGATTTGGAGAGGACAACCTCCAAACTGTGTCAGCCTCATTGGACAACAAGAAAAGAACGGAGAGAGAAGATCCCAGGACTTCCCGCCCTTCTTCCCAAAGTAATAATCTGACACATCTGTGCAGATCCCAATAATCTGGCACATCCCTAAGCCTGGGCCCCAGCCAGAGGCACACTCACCTGCTTTGCGGCGGCCTGGCTTGGAGGTAAAGAACCCGGCGTGAGCACAGGGGGGCTCCCAGGGCCACAGAGTTCAGGAAAAGGATTCGGGATGGCCGGCAGAGACGAGGTTCTAAATTGCTGGTCTTCCTCCTGAAGGCGCCTGGAAGGCAGGGATAAGTGCCTGTTAAAAGCTGCCATTCCCCACATGACCCGGTCTTACCACTGTGGTGATACACCCAGAAAGCGGGACACAGGGCTTCTAGGAGTCACTGGCATGCCCACATTCACAGTGGCATCCTTCACAATAGCCAACAAGTAGAGGCAACCCAAGGATCAACAGATGGATGAATGGATGAACAAAATGTGGCATATCCATACCATGGACCACTACTAGGCCATGAAAAAGGAAGCACATTCTGACACAGGCTACAACAGGCTGAACCCCGAAGACATTATGCAGAGTCAAACATGCCAGTCACAACACCAGAGACACTGTGTGATTTCACACAGTGAGGGAGGTAGCATATTCAAACCCATAGAAAGTAGAATCGTGGCTGCAAGGTACTAAGGGGAGGGGAATGGGGAGTTGCTATTTATTGGGGATAGAATTTCAGTTTCACAAGATGAGAAAGTTCTGGAGATTGTACAACCATTGTGAGTGTGCATTAATACTACTGAACCATACTCTGAAAAAACAGTTAATATGGTAAATTTTATGTTACATGTATTTTACTAAAAGGAAAACTTTAAAAAATTACAAGTTGTCATTCTCAGACCCAAAGTGTATCTGGTATCAATTCTCTTCTTCATTAGGCATCCCGGGGGGACGGGGGTGCAGAGATTCTTCTGTTGTCCTGGGTGCGTGCTCATCTCAGGCAGCACTCAGGGCCTGACATGGCATCAGCTCCAAATACCTCATCCGTTTGATCAGTGAATACCTAATGTGTGAAAGGTTTTCTGCACAGGAGCGTTTTCATGAGGACAAGTGTTTGTCAGCGTCCTTGAAATGAGCATTAATCTAATCAAATGAAAATACAAGAAAAGGCTTTGTGTGTTCTCACCTGAATTATGCAATGGATGCTTATTTATATAAAAAGGTTGTTGATACTGAATTAATTCGAAATTATAGCTTCACATATCTGTCCTCCCAAAGCCTGTGTCCACATTAGAAACACACCTTAGAAACACACGCTGAATCCACGCACCACCTCTACTTTCCTGGCACTTCTCCAGGGGCATCTGTTCCCTCCTCAGAAAAATGCACAACCCACTTGTCATACAACTATGCAACACACGCACAGTATGACGAATCAGAAGCAACTGTGAACAGCAGAGAAATCAAGTTCAAAGTCAAAGCAAATGCCAAGTGCCCGGCGCCTCCCCTCTGTGGAGTAACTTCTGGCCCACATCTCCAGGACACTCCTGGGCACACAGCCTCCTCCATCCTTCCTGAGGCCACGCGACCCTGTCCACAGCCTCCTACCTTCAAGGAGAGGGGAGCAAACCTCACATTATCTTCACTCAGCATTTCCAATCCCTCCCCATGTTTAAACACACCTCAGAAACCCCCATCACAGGCTGTGTCTTCAAGTAATTTTTTTTTGACCATTTTTACGATTTCACAAAATCAGCAATCCGTTAGCTTTCCTGAGAGATATGCCACTACAGAAACACACTTTGTGATCACTTTACTTTTTCTCTTTCACCAACTTTCCCTATTTTTAAAGGAAGATCCAGCTAGCTATCCCACATAGACCAGCAAATGATGCATGGATTTAAAATTATGAGAACTCACATGGCATGAAGGGAATCAGTGCTGTGAAATACAGGAAAGCCGTTCCTATAATGGTTTGATGACATGCCAGAAAGTTTATTTTTACTGTGAACAAATCCCACTCTTCCCATAACAGCTTTAGCCTTGGCAAGGCATCCAGCTGAAAGGTCTGGCTGTTGTCGTACAGGAGGAGATGGATAAAAGGGGTGGCCAGTGCCACTTTCAGGACATTCCAGTCCACGGCTTCTAGCCAGTGACTTCACCCCGAAGAGATAATCTGATGTTTCAGTGTCCACAAAAGCTTATTCTCTTTATTGGGTTGTTTTGAGCATTTTTAAAAAGTCCTGTGTTGACTTTAAAGTGGCTCAGAGACATCGCCTAAGGCAAGACTAAGGGGCATCACCTAAAGACAAAAAATCCCCACGAAAGGGGCTCACAATAGAAGGGAGAGTGACTATGGAGAGGGGTGCTGAGATTTAGGGATGTCAGTGACGGTGGCAGGAACTGCAGAGCTGGTGTGGCGAGGTGCGGGTCCTTCTTCTCTGTGCCTGTGCTGTGGCCCACTTGCGTTTGTCTAGAACACATGCGTGGCCCTTGCACTCTCAAAAGCCTGGGTTGCTTCTCCATACAGAATCGGCTCACCCGTCGGCTCTCCTGTGTGTTAGGCCTTCTTGCCCTTTCCAAGCGTCTCCTCTGCCCATACCCTGCCTGCACCCCAGCTCCCTTTGGGTTGCATGGCAGCCCCCGGGAAGTTCCTCTGCAGCGTGCACCATGCTCCATGCTCCCCGGTACCCAGCAGCCTGCTCCATGGCCACTTCCCACCTGCTGCGGTGGGCCAAGTTACCGCCCCGCTGTGCCTTGGTTTCCTCACCTGGGAAGCGAGGGTAACCCACACCACCTCCCTCCCAGGGCACTGATAACAAAGGAGGAGCTCATCAGCATCTGCACACAGTAAGCGCTCAGCGAATGGCCTCACTTCACAAAATAAATCTTTGGTGATTTTAGATTGATAACCATATTTTTTTTTAATCCACCTGAAAGTGAGAAACAAAACTACTTATCTGAGAGGACACCAGTGAGAAGAGTCTGGCCCAAGGAATAGTGCCTGTGACCCTGTAGGGAGAGGGCTCTGCTGTCCCACAGAGCAAGACTGCCCCTCCACCCCGGGGACTTAGCGCAGGCAGCCCTGGGGCACATATGGGCAAGTTCAGCCAGAACTCGAGGTTCAAGGGTCCTGGGCAACTACTCCGGCAGGGAGGCAGGCCTTCTGGCTTTTCAGCTCACCCTCGGGCACCTTCGCCATGCGACTGCAACTCTATATTCCCAGGCGCTCCCCAAGGCTACTGTGATGCTCCCAAGACATGCTCCCAAGAGAAAAACAGCTCTCCCACTAGACTTAACTAAGTACAGGAGGTCACGCTTCAAAGAACGAAGTCGAACAAACCCTGGGACAGGTATCATTCAGCATCAATGAATATGACAAAAAGTGAGAAGGCAGAGGGGAAGCCGGGGTGGGAAGCTGGTGAGGCAGCTAACCACAGGCGCCAGGGCCACTGTACCCTCTCCCCTCCGTAAGAAACAGCGGCCACCTGGAGCAAGGTGATTACCTGGGCTGCGGAAGACCGAAGATGTCAGACCACAAAGAAAACTCTCAGAAGTTTCTAGAAGCAAGGAAGATCCCAGGAAATGAACGGAGCTCCCCAGAAGACGGGGTGCTGAGACAGGAAGCACCAGAACCCCATCCTGACAGAGGCCAATGAGGGCAAGGGGCAGTACCAGCAGAGATGGCTGTACATCCTCCACGAAGGCCCAGAGATGCAGGCAGGGTCCCACGGAGCCCCACGCCATCCCCGCCATGGACTGCAGCAGGGCAGACAGGCCGATCCTTGAGGGCTGCCCCTGGCTCTCAGCTTGACTCTACAAAGATCTTCATTCACAATGTCTAAGGTGCTCTCAGCACCTTCTCCTTCAACACGACCGTTCTCTAGACACCCTCCTCCCAGGCACTTGAGACAAAATCCAAGTCACCCTCCACACACTCTCTGTCACCTCACAGCCCTGGCAAAATTCAAGTGCTGGCAAAACGCAGCTGCCCCTCCTCGGCAACGCGCTCAAATCCCCTCTTTCTTCATCCTCGGGCAGCACACAATCATCTTCCATTCGGGGGCTCCTGAAACCGCTTCCAAACCGGCCATGCTGTGCCAACCCTGCTGCCCTCTACCACTGCCCCCATGACCCCTGGCAGCCAGAATGCTGGTGTCAAAACTCAAACCCAGCCCCTTCACGCACCTGTCCAGAACTCTTCCCCATGTGGCTCCTGAAAAGGGCACACAAAGTGTTTCAGCACTGGCCTCCATCTGCATCATATCTTCTGCTTATAAAACCTCTGCCTCCATCTATCTGAGCTCCTACCGCCCTTTGACATCTGTTCAGAGATCCCACCTCCCAGGAACCTCCTTCAACGTCCCCAGCACGTTCCTCCCTCCAGCCTCCCTGTTTCCACAGAGATGTGCCTACCCATGAATTAGCAGAGGAATGTGGCCAAATGCAACTCCGAGGGAGGTCTGGGGTTATACGACAAGCTCCGGGGGGTGCTGTAGCTGCTAGCCTCCCAACCCTACTCTGGGTAGTGAGGGCTTGGGGCATGCCATCAGCTCCATGGCTGTTCTTTCAATCTTCCCAGAGATTTTTCCTCTGGTGGTTTTCCTGCATATCCCTCTACCTAGCACAGTGCCTTGCACATAGCAGGCACTCAATAAAAAGTACTGGAATTGAACCGGCTACAAAGTTCAACCCAAGCGCGGCACACCACACACACTCAGCGTATCCGTTATCCCATCAAAGGAATGTATGTGCCTCTTGGTTTTGCAAGGCCAACACTGTTCCCCCCAAGACCATTTAACTCACAGAGAGAGATGTCCCTGTCGACAGCTCTCACCCTTGGAGAAGGCTCTGCCCGTGAGGCCTGGACTTACCTGACAGCAAGGATGTGCACAGGCTGGGAGCGCTGCACCCTCTGCCTCGGGGACACCTGTGGCTGGACGGACCGAGGGCCTGAAGCCCGAGGTTGGCTGCGGGCATGCTGGCCATTCTGCAGGAGGGGCACCGTGTCTGACTGCATGCTGCAGGCTGAGTACAGGCTCTCCAGGGATGCGTTCATATCGTTCACCAGGGCTTCCAGGTCCACATCATCCTCTGCACAGAAAAAGGCAAGAGCAAAAAAGAAACTTTAGCAGTGGAGAGCAATCAAACCCAAATGTACATCTTGGTGATCAGGTTCCAAACCTCAATCCTATTTTTCAAATGTTATGTAAGGGGTAGTGGGGCAACACTGAGAGAAGTATGACTGTATGGAAGCATGCATATTACATGTATTCATCATGATTGACATTCCAAGGCAATTCAATCATTAGAGCTGGGCTGCATTTCTACCTGTCTCCAGGGAGAAGCCATTTGGAGCATCTGCTCAGTTCCCTTCAGTACCCCGTTCTCTCCCCCCCACCCACTCCGGTAGGCCACACACAGCCATAGCTGCATAGCACGACCCCACTGGCCTGGACTCAGCTGACTGAATCACAGGTGTCTCCTAAGATCAGGACTCTCTCCTCCCTGGGATTCCAGAAGTGAAACAAGAGACAGAAACAGAGCAGCACCCAACACTGACACTGGTTCCAGCCCAGAAAGGTTAAGTAGGAGCTGAAACTGTGACAGAGGTTTATGTGTGGCTGCTATTACAATACATGCCTGTGGGCTTCGGGTGCCCACCCATCCTCTTGATTGGCCAGAGTGCAGAAGGAAGCCCATCTTCACATCTTCTCTCTCTGCGTGGGGCAGTGCAGAGAGAGAAGCCACAATGGCACAGAGAGTAAGCCGAGAGAGAGAGAGTGGAAAATGCCCTTTAGAAAGGGAGGAATGAGCCCACAGAGACTGCAATGGTTGGTTTTATGTGTCAACTTGGCTGGGCCATGGTGCCGGGTTTTAGCTAAACACTAGACTAGACTAGATGCTGTGAAGGTATTTTTTAGATGCAATTAACATTTAAACCACAGACTTTGAGTAAAGCAGATTGTTCTTCCTCATGTGAGAGGGCCTCAGCCCATCACCTGAAGACCTGAATAGAAGAAAAAGCCCGGCCTCCAAGGGGAAAGATGGAATTTTGCCTCCAGATCTGAACTGCAACCCTTCCCTGGACGTCCGGCCTGCCAACCTGCCCTGCAGATTTTGGACTTGCTAGCCTCCACAGTGTCATAAGCCAATTCCTAAAATACATATGTCTCTCTCTGTATATAGCCTATTTAATGGGTTGCAGCCCTATCTCTGTTTCTCTGGAGAAGCAGACTTAACACACACGGGCTCAGGGTCACAGACAGCAAGACGCTCTTCCAAACAAAGGCTACACCGTTTGGTCGGTAGGAAGGAAAGCAGAGACTGGCACTTGCAAACTTGCTCACCCTGGCCTGCTCCTACTGGCTCTGGGCGCAGGGCCTGGGACATGGGCTTCCTATTTCTTAAGAGTCCTCAACTCTAATAAGAGCTTAGCAACAGTGTCCACCCCACACGGGGGTTGTAAGGACTAAGTTAGTTATTATCTGCTTTATAACAGAGTTTGGCACACAGTAAACAGGAAGATGTTATTTATTAGCCCTATTTCATCTATTTCTTACAAAATAACAAAAAGCGGTCATTATTAACCTGGCTTAACAGCTGAGGAAACAGGCCTGGAAGAATTAAATCACCTGCCCAAGGTCACATAAGCAGTACTGAAAACAAGCTTTGCAGCCCTCATTCTCCCCTACCAGGTGTGTGCTCCTCACAGAAGCTCCAGAGGGGCACTCTGCCCTCTGGGTCAGAAGGTTTTTGTTTTAAAGGGCTCCCCTCATCTCCCAAGGTTAAAGGGCATAACAAGACAAGACATAAGGAAACCAAATGACAACAAGGAGGGAGGGAGGTCCTGGGCAGCCACAGTAGTGCAGAGGGTATGGAGGGGGCAGGGTCACCCCGGGGGTAGTGCTTCGGCTTCTGGGGTGAGTGGGACAGTAGGATCACGGTTTAGCCAGATCACGCTCAAGATCCTGGTGAAGACAGACAGACAGAAGGGAGGGGTGAGGACAGAAGGGAGGCTGCTGAAATGGCAGCGATGAGACCACTGAGGCCTGGCCAGCATAGCCCCTGCTGGAAGAACAGAAGCCACATTCAACCCAGGCCCAGGGGAGAGGGCAGGGGCTGGGGAGCAGCAGGCTGGAAGAGGAAGGGTGCCTTAGAAAGACGGGTCAGATGGATCCGAAGATGCAGACTGGGTGAAATCAGCAGCTGAGACTCAGCAAGCAGGGCCCTGTGTGCCCAGGATCTGTGTGAAAGGAGGGAAGAAGAGAGATGTTGCCATGGTTTGGGTTGTGAGTGGTCAAATATTAATCCTGGCCAGATATTAAAAGGACAAAGTGCTGAATCAATAATTAATAATTACTGCATAATCAATAATTAATGACCAGGGAGAACACTCAGAGTCAGCAGGCGAACTCTTGCTCATAGTTCCGGGGAGGTGGTGGGGAGGGAAGAGTTGGTTGGCAAAAAATCAGGACCCCTGGAGGGGCAGGCATGTACCTGCCTGAGCTCCCCGAGGTCCCGAAGGCTGTGGCCTTAGGGAGAGGAGAGTCTCTCTGTCAACTGCTGGAGCGAAAACTACTGTCCAGAGTACTCTGCCTGCCAAAGATGAGACCTCAGTTCTGTATTTATTGAGACTGCTGCATTCATTTTGAGGAAAAGTTCTAGTAGACACCATGGATCTGGGGCTTTAGGAAAGTTCTAGAACGTATGCATCATGCACTCACTCATCTCCTACACTCCTATTTAACTGACAGGGAATAGCTGCTTAATTGAAGCTCTGCAAAACAATTAGCACGAGTGCCACTCTTAACTTACCATATTAACAGCTCAATATTTCTATCTCAATGGGCCATCTAAAAGTCAATACTGGCTAAAACACAAAGTTCACTATAAGTATAGTCAGTCTTGGGTGATGCAGGAGGTTGGTCTCAATGCCGCACACATGCACACATGCAAACATGTCCACACCCGTGTACACACATGCACGTGTGCTGTGGGGCCACGCTGCCAATTCAATGCCAGGCTTTTATCCTGCTTTGGACATAAAACAGTGGTACAGTTCTCACTCTGGGACTGCTCTCTTCTAGGAAAACAACATGTTTTCATTCCCTCTAGGGAATTTTCATGTGCAGTTATTTATCTCTATGCATTCCCAACAGCCCCTGGCTGTGCTCCCCAGGCAGGCAGCCCCCAGCGGTCTCCCATCCTTTTCCTGCTAAGCCTTCTCTCAGTCAACCAGATCATTCCTGGGTCACATCTCTGCAATTAGGTCAAATGCAAAGTACTTCTGTCATTATTCAAAGTAAATACAAGGTAATAGACGCCAAAATATAAATGCAACACATGTCCTCAAAATGCTTTTACTCTCCTCAGTGGTGGATTATTTGTACAACTCTTTTCTACTTCAATACATTCAATCCTGAATCTTTTCAACAAAGCCAGGTCAATCTGATAACTCAATAGGTTATAATCTTCATAAACTGAATCCAACCACTCTATCTGGATGTTTCAAACCTTCATACTTTCCAGAGCCATTAGAGCAAAAATAAAACTTTTTAGAAAATTTAAAATGCCCTACTTTAGAAACAACCGTAAAACGTCCTGTGGGGTTCATTAGCATTTTATCTGTTTAGATAATAAAATCACTTATGGTTCTCCGACTTACAAGCTTCACTAAATTCTAATGAAGAGCGACAGTTAAATCTTCCAAACAGGGGGTTTTAAAGGTCTGATTCAAAAGAAGACACTTTTTCATATTCTACATCAATTTTTTTTTTAATTACTACATTAAGATACAACTGAAATCACACTGAGTTCTTATAAGTATCCCTATGGCGTCTATTCTGTCAGCTGGTCCACCTCAGTAAGGACTCTGTGTGCCACCTCTGTGCATGTGGCCAACTGCAAAATTCTTGTCTAGTCCCATGAATCGAAGTGGATCAATAATCACCCATTTGTGAAAGGCCTTCTGCCATGTAACAGAAGTGGGAGAATCAAGTAAACAAATGCTTCTCACAGTGAATATTCAGATTGTCTCTTTAATGTTAACCTGATGCCAAAATATTCTCCATGAGGCTGCCCCACTTGGAGGAATACTGAAAGGCGCAGGAAAAAAATAATTTTATATATAAAATTTCACTTCACACAGATTTATACGAATGTATTTTCTGCACAAATATAGGTCAAACAACATGGCTGCCAATCAAGTTATTAATAGTTATTTTCCGTCTTTAAATAACCCAATCGAAAACTGGGTATCAACTTTGCCCCAAATATCTGAGTAACTTGTCTGATCTCAAATTCACATCTCATCTAGTTTCACCGTCATTCGCAAACTGAGGTTGGTTTAGTTTTAAAATAGATATAAACTCAGGGGAACACATGTGCCTTGGGCTTATCAATCATCACAAGTAAATGTCTTCCAAACAGCAGGTTAGGTGTGCTGACCAGGAAAAGGCAAGGAGGACAGAGAAACTCCTGGGGCAGAGGATTTAACTTCTAGCACCACCTTACCGCCTTCACCAATACATTTCTTAGTTTACAGCACCATCTAGTGTCTTCTTTACATTGTTTACGAATTAAAGATGCCACTGGATTCACCTTACTAAATGATTTGGCACCATATGGACATGCTATTTGCACCATGTATTTAGGACGTGTCCATTACGGTCCCTTCTTCACAGACCTACACAAGCATCCATCAGTGTGCAATGCCTTCAGAGCTTTCTTCTCTACCCCCTTCCCCTATTTTCATATGGAAGATATACCCTGTTAAGTCATAAACAGCTGGGGTGGGTGTATATCATTAAGTCAAAGCAGATTCAGTCCCTAAGTAAAAAATAGATGGTACTTCATGTGAAAAGTCTCTAACACATGTGCAAAAGCCAAAGTCCTTACACATTTCTATCTAGAAAAGAAGTGAAGGTCAGGCTGCAAAAGTGTTTTCCACTAGACCATGTTCACTTGGCAAGCAATTTCTGTTAACTTCTAACCAATTAAAACTTTGTGCAAATATAACTTAACCTTCTACTGAAATATCTTTTTGCGCAACAATTCATCTTCTATTTTCATGTATTCTAGTCACACGCACT